ATATATTTCAATGCTGGAGCCCGTATTTTAAAGTGTGTAAAGTGTAAAATATTAACTATGCGTTTAAATAAATGATATCAGTTAAATATTTGCTGTCTTCATTTTCCAGTGATATGTAGCTCCGTGTAACAGTTCTACGTATTTTTTACGATGCACATATATAGTAATTTGAAATGCAGCCGTTCAAAAGTTCGGGAATGTAGCCAGCAAAATATTGCCCACTGTACTGACATTATTTCCTTCTCGATAATGATTGAGACAGTTTGTTTATTCATAATTTTGATTTGGGCGAACAACAAGTTCACTATTTACATTATTCGGAATATTGTCCTCATCTTTGTCGCCATATTTATTACAACGCTTCGGCCTTCTTCAGGTGGTTTGAATGTCGAACTGAACCATTTATTTCGTTCACTGGGGTAGACTGTTCTAGTTCCACATGCCATGTTTAATGGATGTCAGTTATCAGTTATCTCCTGTCCTCTCCAAGTTCTCCACTGCCTTAACCGGGTATTGAACTCATACTCTTTGGGTCTTCTCACCGGATCTAACCAACGCCTTTATCCACTGTGCCATGTGTCCTCAAATTGGAAAATCTTGAGTAGTTTTTGACCATTGTCTGATCTTTTAGCTTTTATTTCTGTGATTATGAAAAGTAAAATCCAAATGGTTGGTGTCTTTGTAGCACTGTTCAGGGTGAGGTCCACCATAATATATCCCATAATTTCAGTTCCTATTCTTATGTCGATGTTTATATTTCTTGTATGTGATGATTGAACAACTAGATACCAACTGATGTTTCTCTTTTAATTAGTATCATTTGGTTGTTTTAATATCTAAATTATAGGAAACGTATGTAAATACTAAATTAATGTGTATTTTTGTAGCCAAATCTTTACACAAAAGAAAAAGTCTGCAATTTCTTAAAAGGATTTTTGCTACATAAGTGTCCTTCAGTGATTCTTGCCGGTTTTATACGAACTTTTCTTCTATTTATAATGAAGTCTAATATCATAATTTGGTTTGTTTTATTTCACGACATATCGACCTCAAGAGGGTGTTTAATTTTAGAATCGGTTCGTATGAATAGAATATGTATTCGTTGTAAGATATCCGTTTATAGATCAGGTATCTAAAGAAGGATTTTGCCGAGAGTCAATTGTATTGCTGGTAATAGCTTTTTTCAAAAAATGTATTGCTGGTATTTCTACTATAAAATATTATTTCTATAATTTCATAGTGTTGTGACCCCAGTTTGTGAGTTAACTATTTGCCCATAGCTGGGACCCTGACAAATGCTACCAACCCGGTTTAAGTTGGACCTAGGAACAACAGCAAGTAAGAGGTGGTTCCCCGCTCCTGAAAACTTCCCGATCAGAGGCCTTGCCGTCGGATGTAGTTTATCGTCATACTCAGGACGAGTCTTATATTATATATTTTTGTCAGCCTTTATTTCCTTTCAGAGTTGTCCGATTCTTTAAATGTGCGTGTCGTATAAATGCCTCGTTTGAATAGTATGCAAAATGAGTTTTTCATTTTTTTTCTTCCAAATTGTTTTTCTCGCTTCTTTTTGTCGCCTTTAAAGACTAGTCCTTTAAATAATGAAAAATATTTTTGACGAAGCCAGAACATATGTTAAAATAAGTAAATAAAAAGAAAAACACCGATAAATTCTGATAAAAGAATCAAATTTTTAACTAAATGTATGTATATAAATGAATCAGATGAAAATCTTATATAGAGAATATATAATAATAATAATAATAATAATAATGGGTAGTTTCCAAATGAGTATTATTATTCTGTATGGTGCGTGTGTGGTCCGACTTATGTGTCTTACTACTATGTGTGTATGGTGTGTTTTTGTGTGTGTGGCATATTTAGTGCTGGTTTAAATTTGTCTGTGAAGATTTTTCTTGTATTTGTAGGTAAGAGTAATCATCAGTTTGATATATTGGTATAAATTTAAAGTTGCTCTTGTTGCATTTGTGGATGTGTTGTGAAACAGAGCGTTTCCTGTTGTCTGGTAATTTAATGTTGCTTTTGTGAAGGGGAACTCTGTTGTTTAGTGCTTGGGTGATACCTATATAGGATTTGTTGCATTTTGTGCACTTAAGTACATAAATCACATTTTTGGAGTTGCAGTTTAAGTTTTTCTTTATTGAGAGTTTTGTGTGTTTTTTTTTTAAATATCACAAACTATTGAGTATTGATTAAATTTGAATGAGGCTATATATTTTCGGTTTTTCATTAGCGTTAATTATTAATTACTTTTGTTGTTTTTAATATATCCTTCATTTTATTATTCTTGTTAACTAGGTCAAGATTTATTGTTATTACTCTAAATAGTTCTGGATTGTTTTTGTATGTTGAGACGTATGCTAGAATTTTTTCGTGGTTGCGTTTCTTTGGGTTTAGTACTTGACCTTTTTTTTATTAGTTCAAATCCTTTGTTTATTAGCGGTGTTGGGTAGCATCGTTTTTTGAGGGTTTTATGTAATTCTTCTAGGCAGGTTTTTCGAAGGTGTTTATTGGCCACTATACTGAAATGCTAGCGAATAGGAGATGGATTTTAGACAAATTTTTCAGTGATGGCTCTTGAAATGAAAGTATTGTTGGGTGTCTGTAGGATTTTGGTAGATATCTGTAATAATGTGGCTATTTCTGCTTCTGATAAGTATATCTAAGAATGGCAGTTCGTTAAAATTATGCTATTGGTGAATTTGATTGTTGGGTGTAAGTTTTGGAGTAGATTGTGTAATTGGTTAATTGTTCTATCTTTTCATAGAGGTTTTCCTCTAGGTAAGTTAAGCTTAGGGTGGCATATGTTGGTGCCATTTTCGTTCCCATCGCGGTGCCTAGGATTTGGATATAAATTTCGTTGTCAAATTCAAAAGTGTTGTTGTTCACGATTAGGTCTATACTATCGATAATGAAGTTGGTGAATTTTGGATGTAGTATTTTGGGGGTGTTTTTTCAATCCAGAATGAGATTGCCCGTTTACCTAATTCATGGGCAATGTTGCTATATAGGCTATTAATGTCATACGTTGTCATTAGTGTTCCCGGAACTAATTTTTGTGGTATGGAGCTAAGGAAGTGGATATATCGTCTCTCATGTAGCTCTTAATCTTTTTAGTAAATGATTGTAGTATGATGTTTATTAGGTTACTGAATCTGCTGATTAGGTAGGCTAGTCCAGCTACTATGGGTCTGAGCGTAAGGTCACTGGGGTTTGGGATGTTAATACATTCAGATTTTTGTGCCTGGACAGCTGCTTTTATTTCACTCGATTTGTGAATTTTCGGTAGTCCTTGAAATTTGCTTGTTTTGGGGATGAAATTTATTAGGAAGTCCTTTTCTTTTATTGTTAATATCTTATATTGATGTGTAGAGTTTTGTAATTTCTTTTATATAATAATTTTTGTCTGTGTTGCTGTCGATTAATTTATTTCTTATTCCTTAGTGTTTTCATAATGTTTGTTTTATAGTACATTTTGTCCATAATGACTACATCGCTGCCTTTGTCTGCTACTTTTATAATTATGTTGTTATTTTTCTGGTTGTTCTCTAAGGCTAGTCCTTGACTGGATGTGAGGTTATTGAATTATTTGAATTTTTCTTGTACGTTGAGATTCCAGTGTTTGTCAAAAAGTATGTTTAGTGTTGTATTATTGTATTTGCTTGGTTAAAATTTGGATTTATTTTTTACTATTGAGTATTTTTAGTATTGAGTCATCTGTTGTGTTTTTATTATTATTTAATGTTTCTATCAGTCTGAGTTCACGTTCAAATTCTCTAAGCGATTTTTTTAAAAGTCTGGTACATTGTTTTGGGGGAAGGGCAAAATTTGAGGCCTAATTATAATAGGTTAAATTCGTCCTTCGTAAGTGAATATGTAGATAAGTTTAGTATTTTTAGGTACATATATATAATTATTTAATGATGACTACGGTAAAACAAGATGAAATATGCGTTGAAAGATATTTTTAAGTATACTCAGAACTTAATATCAGCATATCCAAATTGAAAATTTGGTCGTTAAACTGGCGAATTTTGCTATAGTTTTAAATCTCCGACAAACCTTGCAAGAATATTAGCCAGCTATGTGAAGTCTAAGACAATTACCTAAACTATGACTAATTAAAAATCAAAATCTTTACCATATGAGCCAGCACACCAACACCTTTTTTGATAGGTTCATTTTTATCTTTCTTTTTTTTAATTATTTTGTTCTTGCCTTTTATAAATTTTCTGGTGTCTGATGACGTCAATCTACCTTCTCGTATATTTCAACTTGCCTTAGTTTCTATTTCAAGCTATTTTTTCAAATTTTCCATCCTTTCTTTCATTGCAACTTATGCCAATGTCGTTTGGTTAAATAGCAATTGTCTGCAGCGGCAAAGAGAAGGTTTGCTCGACGCGAGAACCAATATCAGGCCGTTTCGTTCCAGACTCAGAATTTGGTCAAACGCAATACGTATTTTCTACTTGCTTCCTAAATTTATTTTTAACCTTTTCAGAAATTACCGTTTTGAATTTCTCTTTTTTTAAAATTAAAGAAAAATACTATCATTTTGAATGAATGAATAAAGTTTGTTTTTTTTCACTAAAAGTGCATCAACTCCAAATCAAAAGAGCCACTCAATGTAGAGGGTTAGTGTAAGATTGTAAACGAGGCGGAGAAAGAGTGAATGAATACAGTTTCAACAAAAAGTCTCCTACACTCACTCTACAATCCTAATCGTGGCAAACAACTAGCCCTAAACTACTAGATTTCATCAGTAATATAACATATGCGGTAAAAGATCTCTTCCCATACGTCAGGCTTCATTTTTTAAATTGAAATAGGGCGCAGGCGTTCCCGAAAATTCCGATTCATCTTTTCTCATCCTGCTTTTATTTGACAAAAAAAATTAATAATAATGAATATTATTAGTCTTTTATTATTTTTCTTTTGTCTGTCAAATTTCTTTCATCGACCTTATCGATCTATACCAGTCTGTTCATATCTATCTATCTATCTATCTATCCCAGTCCCATCTATCTATCTATCTATCTATCCCAGTCTGTTCATTATCTATCTATCTATCTATCCCAGTCTGTTCATTATCTATCTATCTATCTATCCCAGTCTGTTCATTATCTATCTATCTATCTATCCCAGTCTGTTCATTATCTATCTATCTATCTATCTATCTATCTATCTATCTATCTATCCCAGTCTGTTCATATCTATCTATCTATCCCATCTATCTATCTATCCCAGTCTGTCTCAGTATTCATCTATCTATCTATCTATCCCAGTCTGTTCATATCTATCTATCTATCTATCTATCCCATCTGTTCATATCTATCTATCTATCTATCTATCCCAGTCTGTTCATATCTATCTATCTATCTATCTATCCCAGTCTGTTCATATCTATCTATCTTCATCCCATCTATCTATCTATCTATCTATCTATCCCAGTCTGTTCATATCTATCTATCTATCTATCTATCCCAGTCTGTTCATCTATCTATCTATCTATCTATCTATCTATCCCAGTCTGTTCATATCATCTATCTATCTATCTATCTATCCCAGTCTGTTCATATCTATCTATCTATCTATCTATCTATCTATCCCAGTCTGTTCATATCTATCTATCTATCTATCTATCTATCCCCAGTCTGTTCATATCTATCTATCTATCTATCTATCTATCTATCCCAGTCTGTTCATATCTATCTATTCATCTATCTATCTATCTATCCCAGTCTGTTCATATCTATCTATCTCTATCTATCCCAGTCTGTTCATATCTATCTATCTATCTATCTATCCCAGTCTGTTCATATCTATCATCTATCTATCCCAGTCTGTTCATCTATCTATCTATCTATCCCCAGTCTGTTCATATCTATCTATCTATCTATCTATCCCAGTCTGTCCCAGTCTATCTATCTATCTATCTATCCCAGTCTGTTCATATCTATCTATCTATCTATCCCAGTCTGTTCATATCTATCTATCTATCTATCTATCCCAGTCTGTTCATATCTATCTATCTATCTATCTATCCCAGTCTGTTCATATCTATCTATCTATCTATCTATCTATCTATCTATCTATCTATCTGTTCTATCTATCTATCTATCTATCTATCTATCTCTATCTATCCCAGTCTGTTCATATCATCTATCTATCTATCTATCTATCTATCCCAGTCTGTTCATATCTATCTATCTATCTATCTATCTATCCCAGTCTGTTCATATCTATCTATCTATCTATCTATCTATCTATCCCAGTCTGTTCATATCTATCTATCTATCTATCTATCTATCCCAGTCTGTTCATATCTATCTATCTATCTATCTATCTATCTATCTATCTATCTATCTATCTATCCCAGTCTGTTCTATCTATCTATCTCTATCTATCATATCTATCTATCTATCTCCCAGTCTGTTCATATCTATCTATCTATCTATCTATCCCAGTCTGTTCATCATCTCTATCATCTGTTCATATCTCTATCTATCTATCCCAGTCTGTTCATATCTATCTATCTATCTATCCATCCCAGTCTGTTCATATCTATCTATCTATCTATCTATCCCAGTCTGTTCATATCTATCTATCTATCTATCTATCTATCCCAGTCTGTCATATCATCTATCTATCTATCTATCTATCCCAGTCTGTTCATATCTATCTATCATCTATCTATCTATCTATCCCAGTCTGTTCATATCTATCTATCTATCTATCTATCTATCCTATCATCCCAGTCTGTTCATATCTCTATCTATCTATCTATCTATCTATCCCCCAGTCTGTTCATATCTATCTATCATCTATCTATCTATCTATCTATCCCAGTCTGTTCTATCATCTATCTATCTATCTATCTATCATCTATCTATCTATCCCCTATCTGTTCATATCTATCTATCTATCTATCTATCCCAGTCTGTTCATATCTATCTATCTATCTATCTATCCCAGTCTGTTATCTATCTATCTATCCCAGTCTGTTCATATCTATCTATCTATCTATCCCAGTCTGTTCATATCTATCTATCTATCTATCTATCCCAGTCTGTTCATATCTATCTATCTATCCCAGTCTGTTCATATCATCTATCTATCCCATCTGTTCATATCTATCCTATCCCAGTCTGTTCATATCTATCATCTATCTATCCCAGTCTGTTCATATCTATCTATCTATCTATCTATCCCAGTCTGTTCATATCTATCTATCTATCTATCTATCCCAGTCCCAGTCTGTCTATCTATCTATCTATCCCAGTCTGTTCACATCTATCTATCTATCCCTATCCCAGTCTGTTCACATCTATCTATCTATCTCTATCTATCTATCCCAGTCTGTTCATATCTATCTATCTATCTATCTATCCCAGTCTGTCCATATCTATCTATCTATCTATCCCCAGTCTGTTCATATCTATCTATCTATCTATCTATCCCAGTCTGTTCATATCTATCTATCTATCTATCTATCCCAGTCTGTTCATATCTCTTCATCTATCTATCCCAGTCTGTTCATATCTATCTATCTATCTATCTATCCCAGTCTGTTCATCTATCTATCTATCTATCTATCCCAGTCTGTTCATATCATCTATCTATCTATCTATCCCAGTCTGTTCATATCTATCTATCTATCTATCTATCCCAGTCTGTTCATATCTATTCATCTATCTATCTATCCCAGTCTGTTCATATCTATCATCTATTCATCTATCCCAGTCTGTTCATATCTATCTATCTATCTATCTATCCCAGTCTGTTCATATCTATCTATCTATCTATCTATCCCAGTCTGTTCATATCTATCTATCTATCTATCTATCCCAGTCTGTTCATATCTATCTATCTATCTATCTATCCCAGTCTGTTCATATCTATCTATCTATCTCATTATATAAGTTTTTATCTTTCATCATTTATTACTTTATTGTTTTAATTTGATACCCGAGAGTAACATCTCTGGAGACGTTTTTGACTTCAAAACAGTTGTTTGTTTTTTTCCTTACCATTGGCTATGCATTTTCGCCAGCGATGAAGAGGTTACATGCCGTGCTCGTAAAAAAAAAAGTTCTACTTCAACGGAGGACTCTTTTTTTTTTTTTTGCAGCATCCCTGTTACATATCGTAAATCTTCAAAGTCGATAAATGTCAACTGGAGCAGTCTTTTCCGCTATTTTGCCAGACTGTAACGAGGAAAAAAAATCGTGGTTTTTTGACGGGAAGATTCATCATTTGTTGCGGTATCAAGATTAGCATCTGTCTCTGACGCTGTGTGCTTACAATAATATAGCTGGTATTATTTTCCGAGCGGCCATCATAGATTCTTTAATACAAGCAGAAAAAGAACAAAGTCACGGCTTACTTGGTAAAGATTTTGAAGCGAATAATACTATGCACACACACGGTAAATGATTATCTGTCCTCCTGTTAGAACGTAATAAGGCACAAGGCCACTTTTAAACTGGAATATCACGCTTATGCAGGACTTATAATAAAGGTTACGTAAGCTCCTTTAGTATACACTATTCAGCTCATTATATTTGGTAATTTCAGTTGTCATCTCATTTAGTTCAATTTTTATAGTGTCAATCTTAGTACTTAAAAAAAATGTATGTACTGAAGATAGTACTCCCGAGAGACGTTGGTGAATTAGTATCCTCCCGTGAGACGTGGGTGAATTAGCTTTCCTCCCGTGAGACGTGGGTGAATTAGCTTTCCTCCCGTGAGACGTGGGTGAATTAGCTTTCCTTCCGTGAGACGTGGGTGAATTAGCTTTCCTCTCGTGAGACGTGGGTGAATTAGCTTTCCTCTCGTGAGACGTGGGTGAATTAGCTTTCCTCTCGTGAGACGTGGGTGAATTAGCTTTCCTCTCGTGAGACGTGGGTGAATTAGCTTTCCTCTCGTGAGACGTGGGTGAATTAGCTTTCCTCTCGTGAGACGTGGGTGAATTAGCTTTCCTCCCGTGAGACGTGGGTGAATTGTCTTTCAATGCTCCGTCTATAAAATGGAGTAAAATTAATAATGAGATCAATACTGCCAAGTGTTCATTTTAAAAGAAAGAGACACAATCGTTTACTTTTACTAGGAAATGATATAAAGACAGAGCCTATTATCGAAAACAAGTGGATGAGAAAGGGATTGCTTATTTATACGCTGTTTAATCAAGGCTTTCTCAGTTTAAGTTTCCTTTAGTATAGGCGAAGTGTACGTTACGAATTCTAGTCTTGTAGGAAGCTAAGTCGAAATATCCGTTTCCACGCTGTCTGCTCCAACAGTCGAAGTGTGAATTGACCCAGAGAGCTGTATTTAAAAAAATAATAATAAAATGGGACAGAACTATTAATGAAATGACGATGAATTTTTTTTAATAACTGTTACTGATGCAATGCTTACTAATTAACCCATAGCTGGAGGGAGAATAGGTGGATTCATACCTTTCCGCAGGGGTATTTGGTCGTAAGGAAATATAACGAACCCAACGGGAATTGAAACTATACTCTTCAATTAACAATTTCGAGCAATTATCCATTACACCACCCACACGTCCAAGCTTACAGCACCTGGTATTACTAAGCGGACACCCATCTAAGTAATGACCCGGCTCGACCCTTGCTTATCTTCGGTGATCGTATGGGAACCGGTGTTCCAAGGTGATGTGGCCACAAGCCTGAAATGTTTGATAAGCCATAATAAATGAATCAATCAATAAAAACTTCCTCATTGCTCAAATGTTCTATCTATGATATTCTCGGCATTTATTGGTCGTTACCTTATATCTGTGAGGAAATTGCTCAGCATTCACTGTCGTATACAAGAATTAGTAACCCTTCACTTAAGCAGCGTTCCTTGAACGGCGTAAAATCAATAAGTCCAAGGTATATACGTTTACTGTAATTAAACATTATTACAACGGGTAATAGTGGTATACACAACAAAGATACAATAAAAACACTGGATTCCTTGTATTGCAGGGTTCACAAAATTCCTGCTGACGCAATACAAGGCTCAAGAGCCACTCAGTGTAGAAGTTAACTGTATGAGATTGTTAGGGAAGAGGAAGAGTGAATGAATACAATTTTCGCAAAAAGCCATCTGCAAACCTCCTAGAACCTTAATTGTGACAAACAACTTCAGAACTACTAGATTTCATCAGTAATATAACACAAGCAGTAAGATCCCCCACACACCTCCAAAAATAAAACCCAAATTTGTCTTTTATTTCTTGTGGAGATAGGGGATTGGCGTCATAGTATATCCAGTGATTGATTTCCTCGATTCCAGCATAAGAAGCCAAGTCATCAGAAACAATATAGGTTCCAAGCTGGAACACTCTCCGGATCTCTCTCTCTCTCTCTCCGTCTCTATTGCGCCGCTGATCTCTCTCTCTCCCCGTCTCTATCACGCCGCTGTTCTCTCTCTCTCTCCGTCTCTATTACGCCGCCGATCTCTCTCTGTCCGTCTCTATTACGCCGCCGATCTCTCTCTGTCCGTCTCTATTACGCCGCCGATCTCTCTCTGTCCGTCTCTATTACGCCGCCGATCTCTCTCTGTCCGTCTCTATTACGCCGCCGATCGCTCTCTCCTCCGTCGTCTCTATTACGCCGCCGATCTCTCTCTCCCTCCTCGTCTCTATTACGCCGCCGATCGCTCTCTCTCCTCCTCGTCTCTATTACGCCGCCGATCGCTCTCTCTCCTCCTCGTCTCTATTACGCCGCCGATCGCTCTCTCTCCCTCCTCTCGTCTCTATTACGCCGCCGATCGCTCTCTCCCCCTCCTCTCTATTACGCCGCCGATCGCTCTCTCTCCCTCCTCGTCTCTATTACGCCGCCGATCGCTCTCTCCCCTCCTCGTCTCTATTACGCCGCCGATCGCTCTCTCTCCCTCCTCGTCTCTATTACGCCGCCGATCGCTCTCTCCTCCTCCCTCCTCGTCTCTCCCTACGCCGCCGCCGATCGCTCTCTCTCCTCCTCGTCTCTATTACGCCGCCGATCGCTCTCTCCCCTCCTCGTCTCTATTACGCCGCCGATCGCTCTCTCTCCTCCTCGTCTCTATTACGCCGCCGATCGCTCTCTCTCCCTCCTCGTCTCTATTACGCCGCCGATCGCTCTCTCTCCTCCTCGTCTCTATTACGCCGCCGATCGCTCTCTCTCCCTCCTCCTCGTCTCTATTACGCCGCCGATCGCTCTCTCTCCCCCCTCGTCTCTATTACGCCGCCGATCGCTCTCTCTCCCCTCCTCGTCTCTATTACGCCGCCGATCTCTCCTCCTCGTCTCTATTACGCCGCCTCGTCTCTCTCTCCTCCGCCGCCGATCGCCGATCTCTCTCCTCCTCGTCTCTATTACGCCGCCGATCGCTCTCTCTCTCCCTCCTCGTCTCTATTACGCCGCCGATCGCTCTCTCTCTCCCTCCTCGTCTCTATTACGCCGCCGATCGCTCTCTCTCTCCCTCCTCGTCTCTATTACGCCGCCGATCGCTCTCTCTCCCTCCTCGTCTCTATTACGCCGCCGATCGCTCTCTCCCCTCCCTCCGCCGCCGATCTCTCTCCCTCCTCGTCTCTATTACGCCGCCGATCGCTCTCTCCCCTCCTCGTCTCTATTACGCCGCCGATCGCTCTCTCTCCCTCCTCGTCTCTATTACGCCGCCGATCGCTCTCTCTCTCCTCCTCATCTCTATTACGCCGCCGATCGCTCTCTCTCTCCCTCCTCGTCTCTATTACGCCGCCGATCGCTCTCTCTCCCTCCTCGTCTCTATTACGCCGCCGATCGCTCTCTCTCCCCTCCTCGTCTCTATTACGCCGCCGATCGCTCTCTCTCCCTCCTCGTCTCTATTACGCCGCCGATCGCTCTCTCTCCTCCCTCCTCGTCTCTATTACGCCGCCGATCGCTCTCTCTCTCCTCCTCGTCTCTATTACGCCGCCGATCGCTCTCTCTCCTCCTCGTCTCTATTACGCCGCCGATCGCTCTCTCTCCCTCCTCGTCTCTATTACGCCGCCGATCGCTCTCTCTCCCTCCTCGTCTCTATTACGCCGCCGATCGCTCTCTCTCCCTCCTCGTCTCTATTACGCCGCCGATCGCTCTCTCTCCCTCCTCGTCTCTATTACGCCGCCGATCGCTCTCTCTCCCCTCCTCGTCTCTATTACGCCGCCGATCGCTCTCTCTCCCCCTCCTCGTCTCTATTACGCCGCCGATCGCTCTCTCTCCCTCCTCGTCTCTATTACGCCGCCGATCGCTCTCTCTCCCCTCCTCGTCTCTATTACGCCGCCGATCGCTCTCTCTCCCTCCTCGTCTCTATTACGCCGCCGATCGCTCTCTCCCTCCTCGTCTCTATTACGCCGCCGATCGCTCTCTCTCTCCTCCTCGTCTCTATTACGCCGCCGATCGCTCTCTCTCCCTCCTCGTCTCTATTACGCCGCCGATCGCTCTCTCTCCTCCTCGTCTCTATTACGCCGCCGATCGCTCTCTCTCTCCCTCCTCGTCTCTATTACGCCGCCGATCGCTCTCTCCCTCCCTCCTCGTCTCTATTACGCCGCCGATCGCTCTCTCTCCCTCCTCGTCTCTATTACGCGGCCGATCGCTCTCTCTCCCTCCTCGTCTCTATTACGCGGCCGATCGCTCTCTCTCCTCCTCGTCTCTATTACGCGGCCGATCGCTCTCTCTCCTCCTCGTCTCTATTACGCGGCCGATCGCTCTCTCTCCCCTCCTCGCGGCCGATCTCTCTCTCTCGCCCGATCGCTCTCTCTCTCCCTCCTCGTCTCTATTACGCGGCCGATCGCTCTCTCTCTCCCTCCTCGTCTCTATTACGCGGCCGATCGCTCTCTCTCTCCCTCCTCGTCTCTATTACGCGGCCGATCGCTCTCTCTCCCTCCTCGTCTCTATTACGCGGCCGATCGCTCTCTCCTCGTCCCTTACGCTCGTCTCCTCGTATTACGCGGCCGATCGCTCTCTCTCCCCTCCTCGTCTCTATTACGCGGCCGATCGCTCTCTCTCCTCCTCGTCTCTATTACGCGGCCGATCGCTCTCTCTCCCTCCTCGTCTCTATTACGCGGCCGATCGCTTTCTCTCCTCCTCGTCTCTATTACGCGGCCGATCGCTCTCTCTCCCCTCCTCGTCTCTATTACGCGGCGATCGCTCTCTCTCCCTCCTCGTCTCTATTACCGGCCGATCGCTCTCTCTCCTCCTCGTCTCTATTACGCGGCCGATCGCTCTCTCTCTCCCTCCTCGTCTCTATTACGCCGCCGATCGCTCTCTCTCTCCCTCCTCGTCTCTATTACGCCGCCGATCGCTCTCTCTATTTTTCCGTTTCTATTACGCTGCCGCTCTCTCTCCGTCTCTATTATGCCGTCGATCACTCGCTCTCTCTATTACGCCGTCGATCACTCGCTCTCTCTATTACGCCGTCGATCACTCGCTCTCTCTATTACGCCGTCGATCACTCGCTCTCTCTATTCCGCCGTCGACTCAACTAAGGAAAACTTTTTCCTGAACCACCGAATACCTAATCGCTAGAGTGCCATTGGCCGCAGTAACATTTACGATGGCAAAAACATTTAAAGTTATAAATTGACAGTTTATTTTATATCGCTTATATAAAGCATTACCGGCGGCTTGATGGTGCATAACAATTGATCACTTCTGCTTTTGTTTCCAACGTAATTTTCCTGTTTCTTAACATTGTGATTGCTTTCTGAAATACATCTTTCACTATTCCTAAATGTTTGGATTCCGCTGTCAATTTTCTATCGTCTCTTATTGACCTTGTCCATTATGACAGAGGGCAGCAATAAAGAGTTTCAGTAAAGCAAGTTGTAAAATAATAGTATGGAAAATGCTTAACACGGAAAACGCAAAAATAAAATAATTAAAACAAAATCGACAGCGTATTTGTTAGGTTTCTAGTATCGCTATAGTCGTCCTTGGAATCCACAGTAATGTTAAAAAACTGAGATTAAAATAAATGAAGTTGACTAAACGGAGATCTTGGTATGTAGAACCAATTTATAACATTAATAAATTGGTGCCAGGAATAACTGCAGAAATTAGCCGAAAGAATTTCTCGTCAACACTCGGCGAGTCAGAGAGAAATTCCGTATTGCACACACTCACGTTTCTTTATAGACCAGCCATCACATATAAACATAGTAATGAGTAGGGTTGAATATAAGTACCTACTCATGGAAGTTTTCATATTCAAAAGGGCCAGGCGGGAAAAATGACATAAGCATGATGTACTCAAGGAATATATAAGCGAAGGAACAAAAACTGCATGGATATTGAGAGAACGTTTTGTCGATTTTCGAAGCCCGCTTACGAAAAAAATGAAAATGGGAAACTCGGGCAATTTGAGGAATATCAAGGAGTATAATAATGAATTTGTTAAATATAAATATTCTTTTGGGGTATGTTTCATTTATCTCTCGATTGCACTCTCCGGCATTTCTATCTCTCTCTCTCTCTTCGTCTTTATTAGGCCGCCGATCTCTCTCTCTCTCTCTCTCCATTATGCCGCCGATCGCGATCTCTCTCCTCATCTCTATTACGCCGCCGATCGCTCTCTCTCTCTCTCTCTCCCCTCGTCTCTATACGTGCTTGGCGCCTCGCTTTAGATTAAGGATGAGTAATTTCGAAAGCATAATAACTGCTGTTAGTGCGATCCTCGCTTTGTATTATATATTTGTTTTGTACTAAATGCAATTAAATTGGGTGGATATGAATATTTATCACGTTTCCTGTAACCCATTAGAGTCATAGAAGCAGCGGTAGGATAACCTGTCCGTCCATGGTAGGATAACCTGACGGAGCCTATCTCTCTTCAGACTGGTTTTGAAATGAGAAACATCATTTTTCTTGAGCAGTTGACCTATCAAGTTTAAAGACTCGCTCACGAAGGAGCCCAGTCTGCACTATTACTCACTCACGAAGGAGCCCAGGTCCGACATGCTATTTAACAAATGGCTAGAGACTGTTGTATTCATCCCTTTTTCAAAAACGTAGTAAGCGGAATAGGATCGATCTGAATTTAAACTCTGCTTGTTAACCGTTACGGTAACCCCACATCGTTCAACATCGGTAGCTGGGTAAATTAGTTAATAAACTAGACAAAGAAATCCCTATTGGTAGAAGAAAAGCTGTGGCATACCTATGTTTCTATATAACATGAAATATGATGAAAACTCGAGTCAAGAGAGAATGTGATTTAACAAACAGTTGTTCAGACAGAATATCTGAGCAAGGAGGAAGTTGTATGAAAAATGAAAACTGAACGGACACATTTGCAATTGGAAAGAGGCAGTTGAAATTTTTGGTAATCATAGGGAGGAAATGAGGTTTGGAGAATTTAACCCTCACAGAACATCTATGGTAAGGGGGCTACAGATGTAAACTTCGAGTGACCTACGGGGCGAAATTGTATGGCCGGGTGGCGAAAAAGAGTTAGAGCTATCAAATAACAGGAAATTGCGAAGAAGCATAATCATTCATGCCCTGAATGGACCCGGTAGA